TTGACATTTGCGGCTGATTTTCGGCTGACTACGAAATATTCGGCTGAAATTCGGCTAAAAGCCTGGCCAATGATGAAGTAATAAAACTTCAGCAATAAAACACTTTTACAATACTTCAGAAAAAGTTTTATTATTTTAAATAATAGAAGAAAAAAAAATAGTTGTCTATGCTGTCCTACTAATACAGTGCATGAATGCATTCCATTCATTCAATTTCTGTCCCTCAATAGCTGATACCTTAAAACGGAACGCCATGAAATTTAAGAAAGCAAAAACATTACGGTACGGCGACTCGTTCATTTTTCGGCGGATTTACGGCGGACGAAATACGGCGGCTAATGCGGCGGCTAATGCGGCGGCTAATGCGGCGCGCGGCATTTTTCCGGCGGATTTTTGGTGGACGAAAATTCGGCGGCGTATTCGGCGCGCGGCGTCGGCTGGGTGGTCTAGGGGGGGCTTTTTTATGAAAGGGTAATAAGGGGGAAAGACTGCGATCAGGTTAGCAAAAAAGGAAATGAGCAAAACAAAGTATGTGAAATCGTGAAAAAGGAACGCAACAAAACAACGTCGGTGTCGGCAGGAAGCCTTCGTCAGCGAACAAACAACAGAAAAAAACAGACTTTTACCTTAAAAATTAGGAGAGGGTTGCATTTAAATAAAACATTAATTCAACTCCTGGAATGTCCTGCGGTTCGCTTCAAATGAATCAGTGGACCGCATGTTTCCCTTGGGGACTTGATTCCTTCTTCTTCTTCTATATCTTAAGGGCCCACGATCAATTTATTTATCATTTTGGCTAATATGCATGAAGATGGGATTTGCAATGTTTCTGATACTGGTGTTGATGAGGAAATCATGCCCTAGGGGTTTCAAGGCTTGTTGTCGCCTCAACCGTTCATTTTGAAAGATTGTTCCAGTCCCTGATTGTCTTGGGCAGGAATGAGCAGCTCCTATACTATAATGGTTGCCCCACCTTTGGATAAAGCTATCTCCCTTTGTGTGCCAATCGTGCTGACTGCTGTTCCTATTTATTTTATGTCAAGATCGTAATAGTTTGCATATATATATATATATATATATATATATATATATATATATATATATATATATATATAGAGAGAGAGAGAGAGAGAGAGAGAGAGAGAGAAATCAATATAAAAAATATATATATATATATATATATATATATATATATATATATATATATATATATATATATATATATAGAGAGAGAGAGAGAGAGAGAGAGAGAGAGAGAGAACTCAATTTAAGAAGAAAATTGTGATGATTTTTAAATACTGAATCCGAACAACCCAGTTTTCTCTGTTAAAAACTCCAAGCCATATATTTATTAGACAAGAATACAACTCAACAAGCATAGTGTGTTTGAAAATGCAATGTTTAGAGACGGGAGGAAAAAGTAACTTCTAAGACTTGTGATTGGCGAACAAATAGAAATGATCCCGTGGCATAAGTCTCAGGTCGGCCATTGGCACAACGGATCTTCAAAAATAAGCTAACTATTTTGTTTTTAAATATTAAAGGATGAAAATATTAGATCGTTAAAAAAACACGAAGATATACCCAAAAAATGTTGAATCCTAGAAACTAAATTGATACAATTGAAATATGATAAAAATTTAACACAAATTCAATGTATGTACTATAGGCCCGCATATTCTTATTGGCAGATTTACTTCTAAAAATACCATCTTAAAGCTTTGTTAAAATTCTTTACTATATGTTTTATAATCAGATTTTTAACATTAATTTTGTTTTACTGATCATTTTTCTTCTATTTCATTATAAAATATTTACACATTTCCCACTCCAAGGACGTGACAAATCATCTAAATATGCAACACAACAGCAACAACAACAAAATACAAACCTAAACAACAACTTCTTATTCTAAAAACTAATTGTTATTGTTGTTTTCTGCCTTCCAGCGGGCTGTTCATGGAAGTGCGCCGTGTTCAGCAACGGAGATTGTTTTAAGTACGTCAAGGAAAGCAAAACATGGCAGGAAGCTCAGGTCATTGCTGGAGCAAGAGTCCTCAACTTTTTTTGATAGACGATTTTAGCTAAAGTAGTTTACAGAAGAGTTTCATTAAAGTTAAAGGGGGGGGTGGGTGCATTCGTTCTTATTATAAGGGGACAGTACTTTTTTTTCTCTCTTCTTTTTCAACTTGTTTATGTTGGGACACGCATGACTCACAAAGATTTTAAATGTTTAGGTTTTTAATGTCTTGGTTTTTAATCTCCTGGTTTTAAAATGTCCTGGTTTTAAATTTCCTGGTTTTTAATGTCTTGGTTTTAAAATGTCCCGGTTTTAAATTTCCTGTTTCTTAAATTAAATGTCTTTATTTGAAATGCCCTGTTTTAAAATGTCTTGGTTTTAAATGTCCTGTTCTAAATGCCTTAGTCTAAAATTTGAAAACACAAAGTGTCACCTTAAATCAAATTTTAACCAACTAAAAATAATGTGATCTGAAAGTGTGTGAGCTATAGATATGTGATCTATAATTGTGTGGTAAATAACTGTATCAATTATCACTTAGAATCGAGAAGGGGTTTGAACAGGCAATATTCTGCTGGGGAAGCAGATAAAGTTTAAGTTTCGCCAAAACAAATGAATAAATTATCTATTTAGGCTTTTTTCAAATGAATAAATTAAATTATTCTCCAGTTAATTGAATTTTTCCCAAATTAATTGAATTATGCCCAAATTAATTTCATTATGCCCAAATAAATTGAATTTTTCCAAAATTAATTGCATTATGCCCAAATTAATTGAATTATGACAAAATTAATTGAATTTTGACCAAATTAATTGGATTATGCCCAAATTAATTGAATTATGCCCAAATTTTATTGAACTATGCCTAAATTAATTGAATTATGCCCAAATTAATTGAATCATGCCCAAATTTTTTGAATAATGCCCAATTTAATTAAATTATGTCCAATTTATTTGAGTTATGCCCTATTAATTGCATTATGCCCAAATTAATTGCATTATGTCCAATTTAATTGAAATTATACCCAAAATAATTGAAATATGCCCAAATTAATTGAACTATGCCCAATCAATTGCATTATTTTTAATTTAATTGAATTATGCCCAAATTTATTGAATCATGCCCAAATTGATTGAATTTTGCAAAAATAATTTGAACTTTGCCTAAATTTATCGAATAATGCCCAATTTAATTAAATTATGCAAAATTTAATTGAATTATGCCCAATTAATTTCATTATGCCCAAATTGATTGAATTATGCCCAATTAATTGCATTATGCCTAAAATTAATTGATTTATGCCCAAATTAATTGCAGTATGCCCAAATTAATTGAATTAACGACACTTAAACTTTCACTAGACCGTTTGTTGTTTAAAGTCTCGGAATGGGACAGTAAATTCTACACATGTAAAAGTAATTGGTCGTCTTAATGCAATAAGTTACTCCTCATCAAATGATAGTCCACAAGTTACTCCTCATCAAATGATAGTCCACAAGTTACTCCTCATCAAATGATATTCCACAAGTTACTCCTCATCAAATGATAGTCCACAAGTTACTCCTCATCAAATGATATTCCACAAGTTACTCCTCATCAAATGATAGTCCACAAGTTACTCCTCATCAAATGATAGTCCACAAGTTACTCCTCATCAAATGATAGTCCACAAGTTACTCCTCATCAAATGATAGTCCACAAGTTACTCCTCATCAAATGATAGTCCACAAGTTACTCCTCATCAAATGATAGTCCACAAGTTACTCCTCATCAAATGATAGTCCACAAGTTACTCCTCATCAAATGATAGTCCACAAGTTACTCCTCATCAAATGATAGTCCACAAGTTACTCCTCATCAAATGATAGTCCACAAGTTACTCCTCATCAAATGATAGTCCACAAGTTACTCCTCATCAAATGATAGTCCACAAGTTACTCCTCATCAAATGATAGTCCACAAGTTACTCCTCATCAAATGATAGTCCACAAGTTACTCTATGTCAAATGACACTCCCTAAACTATTTCCTTTCCAGGCGTACTGCGAATCACTTCCAGGTGGAGGCACGCTCGCTCAGATTACTTCGAACTCTGACCTTTTTCACCTACAACCTTCCAAACATGGCTTTACGACCGGAAGTAAGTTTTTAATCTCCCCGAGAAACTAAATTATTAGACTTTCTCTTTCCATCCACGCATTTTTTTTTAAAAAGTATAAATCACCAGTTATTGTTATCTCAGTGGCATAGGAACTGGAGATAACGGGGCTATCGGCCCGGCGACAGATTTTTTTCTTTATATCGAGTGGTATCATAACATTGTAGACCAACTGATATGTTTTTTTTTCATGAATGTGGGATGGGGGGATTTAAGCCCGCCAATGGAAGCACTTACCCTAGCTACGCTACTTTGTTCACTTTGTACTTGTAATCCTTGTCCTGTAGGTGACGTAGATAACAGTTGGATTTTATTTTTGTTGGCAATGGTATAGCCAACAAAGGTACAGGATTAATTAAAGAGAAGCAAGTATTTGACTCATTCTATCAAACTTTAACTTGAATTATTCCCCCTCTAAAGCCGACACATTCCCATGATGACTGTTTATTGTATTAATGTTCAGCAAGGCTGCATCAATAAAGTTTAGCAAATTGTAAAATCTTTGATCATTGATCCCTCAACGCACTAGTTTTCTATCAACTAACCTGAAAAATAGTCTGGGCGCCACCATCTTGATTTTTAAGTAGAAGCAATTCACCGATCTGGTAATGAAATACGACCTTAACTAATTTAAAATGCAGTTTGAAGAAAATTTGATCTATATTATTAAGGCAGTGAAATTTCTGTGAATGCAAATATTCTCAAACATGACGAAGTAATTGTACAATGTTATCTTGAAAGTCTGAGTTATGGCCATGAAGGTATAACTGTACACCATGTTACCTTGAAAGTCTGAGTTATGGCCTTGACGGTATAACTGTACACCATGTTATCTTGAAAGTTTGGATTGGCGCCAATGACATCAAAACAGAGGGGGTTTGGAGATGGCCCGACCTGACATCGGCCAACTTGGCCACCCTGTGGGCTTCTGGTCAGCCGGACAACCTGAATGACCAGGACTGCGTTGAGCTCCTTCCTGACGGCCGTCTCAATGACCTCGAGTGCAGCACAGCACGTCCATTCATTTGTATGGAGAAACGTGAGTCTAAGTGTGTCCACAGACTTTTTAGAGTTCATAACTTGTTGTTTTTTTTTCTGGTTGCTATGCCAACACTTCCCATAGAATCACACAACACGCCACTCGCTTTAAAAGTGATCCAAAATACTTAAAAACTACACACTTTGTTGATGCGCCATTTTTTTTTTCAACATGTGTCCCTTAGTGTTTCAATGTGTTTCCTTTAGTGTTTCAACATGTATCCCTTATTGTCTCAACATGTATCCTTTAATGTTTCAACGTGTATGCCTTATTGTTTCAACGTGTATCCCCTAGTGGCTCAACATGTGTCCCCCATTGTTTCAACATGTATCCCTTATTGTTTCAACACGTATCCTTTAATGTTGCAACATGTATTCCTTATTGTTTTAACATGTATCCCCTATTGTTTCAACATGTATCCCTTACTGTTTCAACATGTATCCTTTAATGTTTCAACATGTGTCCACTATTGTTTCAACTTGTATCCCGTATTTTTTCAACGTGTATCTCCTGCTGTTTCCACATATATTTGCTATGGTCTAGTTTCAGAGCTGTTTTTCAACATGCAACAACATCAATCTTACCTCCAACGTTTCAAATGACCCAATTGTTATCATACTAACTGCATCTTGATCTAGTTGATGTCCCCTTGGCTAAAGATGTCTATATAATAACATACCGTCCAACAGATAAGTCACAACTATGTCAAGCACCCATCTCAAAGCTCTGATTCACTTTCTCACTAATCCGATCACTATCTCAAATCCTCGTCTCACAATCTCACGTATGCTGTTCCATCTCAAAATTGTGCCTCACTATCTCTATAATGTTATCCCATCTCAAATCTTTTTTTTTAATATCTCACTGATTTTATTCAATCTCAAAGCTGCGTTTCACTATCTCGCTAATGCTATCCCATATTACTATCTCACTAATGCTATCACATCTCAAATCTGTGTCTCACTATCTCACTAATGATATCCCATCTCACATCTGTGTCTCACTATATCACTAATGCTATCACATCTCACATATGTGACTCACTATCTCACTAATGATATTCTATCTCACATCTGTGTCTCACTATATCACTAATGCTATCACATCTCACATCTGTGTCTCACTATATCACTAATGCTATCACATCTCACATCTATGTCTCACTATTTCACTAATGCTATCACATCTCACATCTTTGTCTCACTATCTCACTAATGCTATCACATCTCACGTCTGTGTATCACTATCCCACTCATGCTATCCTATCTTACAGCTGTGTCCGCTGACCCTTGCTGGCTGTGGCCTGGGGCCACTTACAACGATGGCAGGTGTTTCAAGTATATTTCGGATCGCAAGAATTGGGCCGATTCTCAGGTCTGTTTAGTCAATGCCAGTTTAGGTTCATGCTATTGTAGTAGATATAACTTTGTAGGTTTGATGTAGCTTCTTAAGTGTTTGTTGATAGCTCATTACAAGAGATAGTTTTTCAACACAATTTTGGGCTCATCCAAAACACTGATTAGTTACACATAAGTGGAGACAGGTATAAGGGGACAAAATAAGTAGTAGAACAGGAAGCCATCTTCAGCAGATGGGTTTTTGCTCGTTGTTTGTGCTCTGGTGGGAGACTTTTCCCATTATTTGTGCTCTTGTGGGAGACTTTTCCCATTATTTCTGCTCTTGTGGGAGACTTTTCCCATTATTTGTGCTCTTGTGGGAGACTTTGCCCATTATTTGTGCTCTTGTGGGAGACTTTTCCCATTATTTGTGCTCTGGTGGGAGACTTTTCCCATTATTTGTGTTCTTGTGGGAGACTTTTCCCATTATTTGTGCTCTTGTGGGAGACTTTTCCCATTATTTGTGCTCTTGTGGGAGACTTTGCCCGTTATTTGTGCTCTTGTGGGAGACATTTCCCGTTATTTGTGCTCTTGTGGGAGACTTTTCCCATTATTTGTGCTCTTGTGGGAGACTTTTCCCGTTATTTGTGCTCTTGTGGGAGACTTTTCCCATTATTTGTGCTCTTGTAGGAGACTTTTCCCGTTATTTGTGCTCTTGTGGGAGACTTTTCCCGTTATTTGTGCTCTTGTGGTAGACTTTTCCCATTATTTGTGCTCTTGTGGGAGACTTTGCCCGTTATTTGTGCTCTTGTGGGAGACTTTTCCCGTTATTTGTGCTCTTGTGGGAGACTTTTCCCGTTATTTGTGCTCTTGTGGGAGACTTTTCCCGTTATTTGTGCTCTTGTGGGAGACTTTTCCCGTTATTTGTGCTCTTGCGGGAGACTTTTCCCATTATTTGTGCTCTTGTGGGAGACTTTGCCCATTATTTCTGCTCTTGTGGGAGACTTTGCCCATTATTTGTGCTCTTGTGGGAGACTTTTCCCATTATTTGTGCTCTTGTGGGAGACTTTGCCCATTATTTGTGCTCTTGTGGGAGACTTTTCCCATTATTTGTGCTCTTGTGGGAGACTTTTCCCATTATTTGTGCTCTTGTGGGAGACTTTTCCCATTATTTGTGCTCTTGTGGGAGACTTTTCCCATTATTTGTGCTCTTGTGGGAGACTTTTCCCATTATTTGTGCTCTTGTGGGAGACTTTTCCCATTATTTGTGCTCTTGTGGGAGACTTTTCCCATTATTTGTGCTCTTGTGGGAGACTTTTCCCATTATTTGTGCTCTTGTGGGGGACTTTTCCCGTTATTTGTGCTCTTGTGGTAGACAGTCTGGGGTTTATGTGCATTTTTCATATTTTTAATTTCAAGTATATGTTGTTCCTTATTTCGTGATGTCAGCTGAAGAAGGCATCTGGCTGAAACGCCCATTTTATTGTCCTGTCTTTTCTTTGTCGAGCCTTAACAATTTTTTCATGTAATTTATTCACTTCACACGGCTTGAAACCAGTCCCCCGTTTATTATCCTGAATGGAAAACACGAATCTAAAATATTGCATTTGCATATAAATATATTTAATTTGATATTACCCCTCAGCGAACGATAATTTTGAAAGCCGTTGAGCTATGAGCAGACGTCCCATTTGAAATTTCTGCTCCATTGAATAATCCTTGAAAACTGGATAGTTTCAATTGTAATGAGATATACACGAATAATCAAGTTAAAAGTTACTCATTTGGTTCTCGGTGATTTTGATCCGTGACTACAATCTACGTTAAAGCTCTTGTTTAGCTCGACAAGGACAAGGCGTGTGGTTCAACAACCGTTACAAGGGGACACAATTGTACGCACTCTGAAAATGCAACTCTGTTTCATAAGTTGTCTCTCTTGTGACATGTTCTTTAGTAAAGAGCAAAGCCCGAAATTTAAAACCACATCAGTAGGATTTCTGTTAGATATATTTCGTAGTCTGCCTCCATTTAAATAATACATTTTTTGTCAAAGAGTTTCTCTATAGATGTTGGCGAATTCAGGAACGACGCTCCCACAAGTGTTCAGATATCCTAGACTATCTTCCAAAAGTGCTAAGATATCATAGACTTTCTTCCAAAAGTGCTCAGATATCATAGACTTTCTTCCAAAAGTGCTCAGATATCATAGACTTTTTTCTGTAAGTGCTCAGATATCATAGACTATCTTCCAAAAGTGCTCAGATATCATACACTTTCTTCCAAAAGTGATCAGATATCATAGACTATCTTCCAAAAGTGCTCAGATATCATAGACTTTCTTCCAAAAGTGCTCAGATATCATAGACTATCTTCCAAAAGTGCTCAGATATCCCAGACTGTCTTCCAAAAGTGCTCAGATATCCTAGACCAGTGGTTCTTAACCTGGGTTCGATCGAACCCCAGGGGTTTGGTGAGTCAGTCTCAGGGGTTCGGCGGAGGTCCAAAAAAAAAATCAGAAAAAAAAAGTCGTATTTTATTGTTCCTATTAAGAAGGGTTCGGTACCTCCAAAAAGGTTAAGAACCACTGTCCTAGGCTATCTTCCAAAAGTGCTCAGATATCCTAGACTGTCTTCCAAAAGTGCTCATATATTCCATGGGTCTTCATAAATTGCTCAAATATCCCAGACAGTCTTTCAAAAGTGCTCAGATATCCCAGAAATTATTTCAAAATCAACATACATTCAGACTGCCTTAGGAAAGCCGTAAGAGAAATATCAAGATGGATGGCTCAAATGCTCATGGCTACATGGGGGGGGGGGAAGCCGTAAGAGAAATATCAAGATGGATGGCTCAAATGCTCATGGCTACATGGGAGGGAAAGCCGTAAGAGAAATATCAAGATGGATGGCTCAAATGTTCATGGCTACATGGGGGGGAAAGCCGTAAGAGAAATATCAAGATGGATGGCTCAAATGCTCATGGCTACATGGGGGGGGGGGAAAGCCGTAAGAGAAATATCAAGATGGATGGCTCAAATACTCATGGCTACATGGGAGGGAAAGCCGTAAGAGAAATATCAAGATGGATGGCTCAAATGCTCATGGCTACATGGGAGGGAAAGCCGTAAGAGAAATATCAAGATGGATGGCTCAAATGCTCATGGCTACATGGGAGGGAGGTCATTAAATGCAAATATGATTCCTTTCTTTATGGTCCACGTTTTCTTCACATCTGGTTGTTGCTTTGTTTTGTTTGGTTTTTTCGACATTAAAAATGTGTCCTTTTCTTTTAAAAAGTACTACATCTCAAGGGTATTATTTTTCAGGCCTACTGTCAGTCGCTGCCAGGAGGTGGCATGTTGGCCTCCGTGAGGTCCGACGCTGAGAGGCTAGTAATAGCCCCGGAAAAAAATGGTCTCAATCAGAAGGGTGGGTGTTGTTTCTTGTCTTGTCGATCTTGTTAAACCTAATGAATATTGATCGTAAATGCTATGTGTACTTGATATACTTGATAAGAAATGCTATATGTACTTGATGTTAAATGATATGTGTTCTTGATGTTAAATAATATGTGTACTTGATGTTAAATGATATGTGTACTTGGTGTTAAATCATATGTGTACTTGATGGTAAATGCTATTTGTACTTGATGTT